TTCCTATCTACAGAAAGTCGACGTGGAATAGACAGTTTACTAACTCTCACAGTTGGGTACCTCTATAAACCAAGCGAAACCTGATCCATTCACTCAGCTACAGAGTTCGCAGAATCTGCACCCCAGATACCATAGAAGACGAACTGGACAATCTCAAGAGAATCCTCATGGAGAATTGTTACCCACAACAATTTATTGCGAAATCCATGAATCCTAGACCGCAAAATTCGCCCACGCTTAGCGTCCTGAAAAACTCCACTACATGAACCTTCATCTGCGGAAACACTGAAAAAACGACTGTCGCGTTTACTTAGGAAAACCTTCTTTGCAGCTGAACTACGATTAACCTTCTCCACAAAACCTATGATTCGTATGAATGTGAAGGATAAGGTACCACTGCTGGCCTCATCAATGTGTATCTACCAAGTCACCTACTCGTGTGGAGCCAGGTATGTTGGCCGTACCCAGCGTTCGCCATCCAAACGTATCACCGAACACTTACCAGAATAGTTTTACAAAGGAGAAACACGATGCCCTCACATCTCTATCTTAGAACACCTGATAGATTCCGGACACCAAGCTACACCCTAAACAAACTTCAAAGTTGTTTGCAGAATACGAAGCAGTCTTCCTAAAAGTGTACGAATCAGTCTTCTTCAAACTACAGAAGCAATGGCAATTCACTTGCTAAGTCCTGAACTCTGCATACAGAAGTTCGTTCAATCACTACACCTGCAATGGACGTAATCTGTCTTAATACCCGACAGGTAAATTCTATTTCTTTTGTCTCTTCATTTGTATTATTTTGTCTTTACAGTTGTAATATTTTACACTTTCAACTTTCCTTTTCTGTACCCCCACCCGATTTAATTTCTACACTTCATTACCACTGTTACTGACTTGAACAACGCTCAATTTCTAGTCATTTATGTTACGTCATCCAATTTATCTGCTCAATTTTAGTCCAAACTTAAATGGCATTATTCTCCATCTCACCTCTACTCAGTCTCTACCTGTAATTACCTCTGTTGCTATCCTGACCAAAGTTGAAACATTTTAGTCAATTCTATTACGTCATCTAACTTACTAACTCAATCTTACTTTAGTTGCTGTCTAATTAACCTTGTTTCTATATTAGATCATTCTTGTATTACCTGATTAATTATCTAAACTTGACGTACCTCATGTACACACATACACAAAAATAATTATATATAAATGCGATTGTACAGCTATGTGAATGAATTCGCCGAAAAAGAGTCTCTTCGCTGAACGTCTTCTCTTTTTCATATGACTCAATGGGGACTTTTAAGCTACTTTTATATTCTTTAACCAATGACTGAGCGTGTGATTTCGGTTTACACTAAGCCACATGAAATAGAATGTTCAAATACATATATAGTATTCTGTTGCTAATGCAGTATTGTATTGTGGGAATATGTGAGATTAATTATTCTGTTGGCACACATTGTCTGTATCACGCCACCACAAATTAACCAAGAACATAATTATAACAATTAGAGAGGATAGAAATAGTTGCAAAAATTGAACGAATGGATTGCATTTTATTCGAAATGCTTTATATATTCGAGTAAAGCCAGAGATAAGGATCTAAGTGAAAAGCGAATAATTAGCTCAATTCTTTTGTCTTTTAAATGTCCAAATGAGGATATGTTTCGGTTGTTCTTTTTTTAGCATGAGATTAGCAGTCTCGCCATATCTTCACTTGGTAAAAGAAGCGATTCAGGTTGTTTGCATAGAATCTCAATTTATTCTCAAAGGACGCTGGTAAATAAGGAGGATATGTCGAAAGACACCATAAATTTACCAAAAATATTCAGACTGCCTTAGTTCCCCAATAATAATAAATTCGCGGGAAATTTTAAAAACCACGAATCTTCCTCTTCATTTCTTAATTACTATCAGTCTGCTATTTTAGACTCCACTGGATCATGATCCCTTACTTCTACTAGTCCTCAATATAGAGATAAAGAAACCTAAAATTTCGATGGAGAAAGAAAGACCAGATTTACAGTATAAAATGATATCATTATATTTCACAGGTTCTCATCAGCTGCAAACTATCTGAAATTACAATGGTTATAAATAATGACATTTCATACTTCATTGTTTGAAAGGTAATACAGAAAGCATTATAAGATATACGCATCCGGAATATAAGGATTAAAATTTTGTAGTTTAAGTTACCATCAATTTATATACTATCAAACTATGAAAAAAGGAAGAAAAAAGGGGGGGGAGGTGAGAGAAGACAGAAAACAGAAAAATCCAATAAACAGTGTCAACATGGCAACTCAACAAGGTTAAAGTTCATCAATTTGAAAACTTGCTTAGTGAGTTGAACTCACTAGTGTCTATGAGTAATCAGTGTGATGAAAGTGATATGGTTACCAAGGGAGTGAGAGATCGACTACACTCTCTTTCTGTGTGCATAAGTTTGGTCTGAGACGTTTGATTGCAATTGCTTCAGCAAATCGTAGTAGATTCGCTGTCCTTTGTATGTTTAATATCTTGAAGGATTTGGAAATCTCAACAAAATGGCCCGTATCCACAAGGTGTCTGGTAATTGCACTTTGTAAATATTTGCTTCCTTTTAAGCATAAGTTTCTCGGAATATGCTCTGAAAACCGGATAGAAGCCCTTCTTTCTGTCCTTCCGATGTACTTGCTGCCGCAGGTGCACGTTAAATTTATAAATGCAGTTGGAAGTAACATCAGCAGGGCACTTATCCAGTTTCGACTGGCTTATAGAAAATGTGGTACTGTATGGTGTCACTAGATTGGCTGCCGGGAAGCATCTCTTGATTGCTCCTTTCATCCTTTTTTCAATCTTTTGCGATACTGTTTCTCCTTTGTATGGGAGGCAAATGAACACTTTCTTCTTTTCAACTGTTGGATACTTGATGGTAAATTAAACTACAAAATTTTAGTCCTTATACTCCGGATGCGTATATCTTATAATGCTTTCTGTATTACCTTTCAAACAATGAAGTATGAAATGTCATTATTTATAACCATTGTAATTTCAGATAGTTTGCAGCTGATGAGAACCTGTGAAATATAATGATATCATTTTATACTGTAAATCTGGTCTTTCATTCCCTATCGAAATTTATCAAGGGAACCAAATGTATGAAATCTGAAATTGTTGGTCAGTAAGCATCATGATACCCGATTTGGTTCATAGGACTGACCATGGAGAATCTATCTCACCGCATTAGAATTCAGTTGTTAAGAATATGAAGATGTGATTAGTTCTCGGGTGAAATTCGTAACGAAGTGACTGATATCAACTAGAGAAATACTAAAACATATGAATATGATGGTTGATTCCTTCTCTGTCAGTTGAAGTAGGTAAGAATGAGCTATAAAACTGTGAAGGTGGCATCAATTCGCAAATCCGCTGATTGTTGGTGTCAGTCGCGTTGATAACCAGTGTGGGGTTAATGCAGTCATAACAATCTTTGGTTAAAGACTGAAGATGATACTATTCAGAATCGATTGTAGCAGTGCAGATGCCTTCATGATCACGGAAATAGGGTAGTACCAGGCGTTAGGTTGATACTCTCTGTCTGTATGTTACAAAGTGAACAACAGGATGTAAACGCCAAATAATCACCATTACCATCATCATTTCATTTAAATAGTAACTAAGCTCAATAAAAACATACATTACATGTTTAAATTGAATTTCAGATTTTCCCATCGATTGATTGGACCGAAGTGCTCGGTCTCAGGTTGACATGTCGGCTTCTTGTGAAGATGCTTCGACGATGTCTGGGTATTTAATTAGTGTTTAATTGGTGGACGGTGACTAGCAGTGAAATCCAGGATGCACATTTCGTCCTATTTGGGACTCGTCATTTGGATGTACCTGCATTTCTCAGTGAGTGATGATGTTCCCATCGAGGCTAGAACCCTGAGCCCATAGTTTCAAACGCCAAAGCGTAATCCACTAGACCACTTGGGCCACGAGAGCCACCTCTTGTGCAACGGGTCAGACATCGTCGAAGCATCTGCTCAAGAAGCCAACATGTTAACCTGAGACCCAGCACTTCGGTCCAATCAATCGACGGGAAAATCTAAAATTGAATTAAATCAGTATGACCCGTTGCACAAGAGGTGGCTCTCGTGGCCCAAGTGGTCTAGTGGATTACGCTTTGGCGTTTGAAACTATGGGCACTGGGTTCTAGCCTCGATGGGAACATCATCACTCACTGAGAAATGCAGGTACATCCAAATGACGAGTCCCAAATAGGACGAAATGTGCATCCTGGATTTCACTGCTAGTCACCATCCACCAATTAAATACATTCGTGCAGTATATTTGCCAAAGGGATTTTGTCTGACTTGGAGCATCCACTTCACCCTCAGCTTTCACCTTGCATCTCCTCAGGTAGAACGAGAAGTAACTTCAGAAAACTGTATGCTCGCACGTCTAAGTATCAAAATTCTATGATACCATACTTGGCACGTATTTTATGTGATGAAAATAGTGTCAGGCAAGAATTGACTAACCTTTTTTCATCTAGTAAATAAACATTCTTCTCCATCCATCCTTATATACCTTCAAGTTTTACTTTTATTATTTCTATTATATTTATGGTCCTGTTGCTTCTTGTTCTCACTTTCATAACTGCAAACACCAACTTATCTCTATGACTGCTGTAATTTTTGTTTTTCCCCTCACCATATCATGTAAAGAGAACATCATATTCAATATTTTTAATCATGCAAGGATTCGTATACCGCATCGACAAAACAGTGTGAAACAAGCCGACGGCAATTTTCACTTGTATTATTATTATTATTATCATTACCTTAGCTGTTATCATTATTATTATTTCCATTTTATATGCTGCATGTTTTTTTATATTTTTTATTTATTTATTTTTATATTAACCGTATTGTAAATGTAGAAAAATTTTCTTTGTGATTAATTTTATTTATAATTTGAGGAAATTAGATGCAATATTGTGATTAATGCTGAAAATTCCATTCTGTATCACAAGTACTGTTTTTGGAATAAAGTAAATTATTATTATTTTTATTATTATTATTATTATTATTATTATTATTATTATTATTACATGTCTTTGACTTCTCAGAAGATAAGTATAACCAAAATAATACTTTGCAAACTAGCACTTTGTTTAGTGCATCTTTTAAATTCCACTCATTCTCTTTCTTTTTCCCCGTCATAATGTCAATCTTCTTAAAATAAGCTCTAAAATAGGGAAGTTCGAAGGAAGTAAGTAATGCCTCTTCCTCTTTTTATGTGATGAAATAAATAATTTGGAAACAAAAAGAAGGAATAAAATAGCGAAGATGTTAACTTTTCTACTAGATTTTCTCCTTGCTCATCACGCCTACGCATCAGCATGACTATGTCATATATTCAATTTTTAATCGTTAATTTCAAAAATCATGATCACTGTTTAAATAAATACTTAAACTATCGAATATGTATCAGTGAAAAGAAAAACTCCAGAATAATCGTTTCGATAACTTCTTATTCAGTTTGTACAGTTGTGAGTCCATATTACTTTAAGAATAACTGATATTGACAACAATAAATGTTAACAATCGACTTGACGATAACTGAGCCAATAAATTTATCAACTTTTACTACCTGAGGTGACAAGTGTACGCAAGCCTACTTACTGACTGTTTAGAATGCTCAGTACAAGGTTAGGTAGTAACAAGGGGAAGGATGGAAGTACCAAAGTAGAATATCAGTTCATGAAGGCGAAAAAATTTAATCTAATCCATATAGGAAGATGTAGGTTTTCTGGGTGAAGGTCTCTAGACTCATGAAAACTATAGTTGAAGACTGTAAATAGGATGCTTGGTAACTTGTACTAATATCGATCCATAATACACCTTTCATCCTCATCTTTACGACTTCAGTCCTCTGAGTTTGTTTTACATTTTGGTTTTATAGAGTTTAATTACTTCTATTTGCTATTGCCTTTATTTATTTACCTTACATCTGGTTACATTCTACATGATGTTCAAATATCACGTCAGGTAACTTGGGCTAACAAAAAATTGACACTATGTTCTGCTTTATTAATGTACATCTGTCTATACTTCTGACGTAGACATTAATTTTTTTTTTTACTTATTTTAAAACGTCATCGTCAAATCACTCATTTGTTAGGACTGATTTCAAGATTATTGAAGTCAAATTATATAACTGCATATACTCTGATTAGTGTTGATGGCTCTTATTCAATCAGTCAGATGACTAACTACCCAATTCCAGAAGTGCTAACTTGTCTTGGCACTCGACTAAGACTTACTGAGTTGTGAAGTCAAATTCCGCCTCACCAATCTAGTAACATTAGTTCTCATAGAATGAATAGAAATAACGTATTGGTAAATGATTATTTGTGTCTGATGTTACAAGGCATTTTACTAACCCATCTTGAAACTTTAACAATTTTAGTCTAATGTGTATGCACAACTGCAGTGTCTTTACGATAATATCATCAATACACATTCATTTTCTGGCTCAAAACCGTGGGAATCAAATTTTATTTGCGAATTATTTTGATACAGTGAGAAATATAGTCGGTTGTAGTCACATTAAAAACTTAAAAAGTGCACTTGTTATATTATCTGTCAGTACACGTTAAAAACACTTTCCATCTGAGTAAACGATTTTTCAATTGTCAAAAGACTGAATTTAGATTCTTGATGGACGAACATGATTATGTTACGTCTGATCCACGACGCAGGTCATAAAACAGCAATCAGGTAGTACTTTGGTGAGAATAATATAAAATCTGTTGGTTAACCTTTGTTAAGGACTATTGGTTGAGGTTGTCTACATTATTATTATTATTATTATTGTTCCCTTGGGTTCCTAGTGGAACATAGGGCTTCAACTGCACGCCTCCACTTGCTTCTGTCTTCTGCTGTACTTTTCACCTGTATCCATGTTATTCCATACTGTTTCAGCTCCTCTTCACACGATCTCCTCCATGTCACCCTTTGACGTCCCACTCGTCGCTTCCTTTTCAGGTTCCACTCGAGCACTGGCCTGACGCGCGATGTCACCCAGTGGCCTCCTCAGCGAGTGTCCAATCTATCTCCACTTTCTCCTGCATATTTGTTGGGCGATTGGTTCTTGTTTTGTTTGTTCCCATAGTTTCTTGTTGGTGATTCTTTCCGGCCATCTGATCTTCAGTATAGATCGAAGACAGTTGTTGATAAAGGTCTGCAACAGGCTGTTGGAAATTTTCTTTGTGACCCGCCAAGTTTCTGATCCGTATAGAAGAACTGACTGACTTGACGTTCGTATTGAAAATCCGAATTTTGTTGTTGATACTGAGTGACGAAGATTTTCAGATTGGTTTCAGGTTGATGAATGTGTTTCTCGCCTTCTCGATTCTCGATTTGACATCCTCGTCGGTTCCTCCTGTAGTTGAGACAATGCTCCCTAGATAAATGAATGAAGTAACCTCTTTCAATATCGTTTTGTTTTTCATTCATTGGGAAATACAAAAACCTTTATTATATTGGTATTAGGTGGTTCAAGGCAATCGGCAGGAAGCCTTGGATCCAGGTTTCGTGCTAGTTGGCACTCATCAGCAAGGCGTATCTGCAACCTTGAAGGAACTGACGTCCCTTCTGAGATTAGGGTTAGTTTAAGAAAGAATTAAGGTTAGTGTTGAGTTAGGGACGTAAATCTGTTCATCGGTCCATTGGTACGTGTGCACTTCTTAGGTGTCTAAAGTTTAACTTTGTGTAAAAGGCATAGACAATCAGATACTTTCAAACAACAGGCCGTTGGGAAACAAGGGAATATTATTAGCAAACATGCTGTAAATGTAGCTAATAGCCTAATAAACAAATCCATGTCATATTACTCAGTTATATTTATAATGGAAACCATATTTTAGTTGATTCATGATTCCCTAGTAGTTTAATTAAAGGCTAATAAGAGCAAATTCAGGTCAGTATCTTCATTTACAGAAGAATTTTTAGCACAACCTCACTCCGAGCACCATGTATGTCGGTTCGCCTGTAATAAGCATACTTTTCACGACAGTGAAAAACATACTGAATTCCGTGAATAACATGTTCACGATCATTTGTTACGTAGAAAACGATTTAAATGTCAATTTTAACATAAGAAAAAAGTCATGCTAATTCGCCTTCCTGTTTTCAGCCGTGTTGTGAATGAATAAATCACTCAGATCGAGTTGGTTTTCGTTTTTTTAAAGAATCCATACTGTAATTCACACTCAAATAAAAACCAGTACAACGTATGAATTTATACCAATAGACATCAATTTCTCATATTATTCTGTTCTGTTCTGTCAGTCTAAAACATCACCAACTTCAATCACTGCCACTTCAGCATTAAAAGCAATTAATTAATTAATGTCTCTCCACTAAATTGTGAGTTCTGCATCAAAGCATAATTTGAAATTATCTATAGGAACTATCCTAAGTTGATAATTAAGTTATAATTGTAGTCTTCAGTCTACAAAGTGCATCGGCAATTCAGCGGTAGAACGCTCACCAACCACCACTCATGTGGTTCAGGATTCGATTCCCGACCACCGACGCACTCCTTAACCTCACTAAGCTGGTAATAAGGAGGCCAGTAAAGAGGTAAGGTGGGGCGTGAGGCTATCAATCTCACCCCGTAAATTACATCACCACTACTACTGAAACTTCAAAGCTCTAGTAGCAATGTTCCAATTGGAATGTAGAGAAATAACATAAATAATGATAATCAGTCTACTAAAGAAAAGATCAAAGAAGTAAGGGAAGTATTAATTCTGTTGAATATCAAGAAATCAGTTTCTCCCGATTCTCAAATTCACGCTGGAATCAGTAAGTAGGGTTTACTGGAGGTTCGGAAGAATGAGGGACTTCCATCAGATTGTAATTCATAAACACTATTCCATGAATAATATTTTTTTTAAAAACTCACTAATTGTCTGAAAAAAATTGTCTGAAAGTCAGAGTGTATTAGAAAGATTTGTAATTCCTATAATTGATTTTAAGTGGTAATGCCATCAAGGATTTGCCTTAAGGGGAAATATGGGGAAGTATTTTGTAACATACTATATATATATATATATATATATATATATATATATATATATATATATATATACATATATACATATATAATCACTGTTCGTCAATAGAATCTTTTCCATACGATTTTTCAGACCTTTACTCACGATGAAAATCACTATTTTTAACACAATTATCAAGTGCATATGTAGTCTGAAGCCTGTTGTGTATATGTTTGGATGAATTGTATGATTTCTTTTGCTATTTCGGTGGTGATGAATGAACGTCTTGATAAAATATTTTCTAACTAAATTTAATAAATTATCATGACCACCTTCGACTTACTGAAAACATAGTTAATAGTAACTGATTCCGAATAAGGTAATTTTTTGTATTTTAGTTAATTCATTAAAACATTTGACTAGTTTGAAAGAAACGTTAGCAATAGAAGAATAAACAGGAAGGGGAGGAGGAAAGGACACTTCCCAGTGTGGCTGTAGAAAGGAAGTAGTGACCGCACAAGGAGTGCGATAATCGAACATCTCGTCACCACTGGTCATTCCGTCTCAACAAACGCCTCCTTCAAAGTAATCTACAAAGTGAAGAACAACCTGCCAAAGACAATACGTTTCCGTCTTCTTTGCATTGCAGAAGCCCTAGCCATTCAGTTGGAAGAACGAGAACTATGCATACAAAAGAAAATTATTCAACCACTTCTACTCTCATGGTAACAACTCCGTTGATTTGACTTAACTTTTGTTTGTTTGCTTGATTTGACTTAACTCTTGTTTGTATGCTTATTTTTCTAACTACTTAAAACCCTTGCGTAATTCCGTATGTTATTTTGTTTCCATGTACACTCTGAGTACAACTCTTTCATCAAACTATTCACAATATTACGTAACTCTTCTTTAACAATCGTTTGTGACAACTCATCACTTTTGTTACTACCCTCTTATATCAACATCCAATCCATGTGAACTTACTAATTGTATTTTCTTTCGTTTGACAAATTTAATGTACACAGATATACAAAACAACCATATTTATTTGCGATTGTACAGCTATGAAAATGAATTCGCCGAAAAGAGACTCTTCCCTGAACTACTGGTCTTTTGTCTATTAATGTTCGAGTGGGGATTTTTCATGAATTAATGTTA